CGTGTTTTTAGAGCTTCGGCGATTACGAGCATCAACGGGCGACGACCTCTATACGACTAAAATTGTATTAAAGTGTTGCTTCTATTTAATTAGGTAGTTCACTAAATGTATAAATAATTTATTTGTGATTATTCTTACATTTGACTTAATGAATTTAATGAGCTTAACAATTCGGTCACCAATTCATGTTTATTTACAACTTTTTTTGAGTGTGTTTATTTAGTATTTACAACTTAATGGAAAACATTATTTATTCATATAGTGAAAAACTGGCTTAATCAAAATGGTGATTAAGCAACTCCACTTATGATGCGTGTTGAAACGGTTATCCATACATTATTTGAACACGTTATGTAATAGATACTCCCTTTGTCTCCTAACGTTCTTACCGGTTTGATTTGGAATCGAGGTTTAAAATGTAGAAATAAAACGGAAATGTAGATTGTGAATGAGTAAGAAAAAAGTAAATGAATGTTAAGATTGTTAAACACACAAACTTTTTATAAAAAGAAGGGAAAAGGTGCAAATAGACCCATGTACTAACCAAAAAAGGTCAAATAAGCCCTTATTTAGGAAGCTCTGTCCAGCCGTCGTCATTTGGGGTGGTTTTCGGTAGAATTGTTTGATGAATTTTTTTGAGCATCTTATTCATCAAGTCTAGTTTACTCATACCAAATTTAAGCTAAAAATTTAATCGGGAAAGCATTCAAATGAATTCTTGAAGATAACTGCGCTTCTAACTGCACAGTTATTTTCAAGAATTCATTTGAATGCCTTCCCGATTGAAGTTTTATCTGAAATTTGGTATGAGTAAACTAGACTTCATGAATAAGATGCTCAAAATTTTCATCAAAAAATTCCACCGGAAACCACTCCAAATGGCGACGGCCGGACAGAACCTCCTAAATAAGGGCTTATTTGACCTTTTTTGGTTAGTACATGGGCTTATTTGCATCTTTTCCCTAAAAAGAAATATAAAGAATTTTTGAAATATCCCAAAATGATAAATGAAAATTGTATTATATAGAATTGAGTATATGTTACTCCGTAATAAATATTGATAATACAGAGCCCGTTTGATGAGCCTGTTTTCCACCTTATCAAGCTTACCAGCTAACTTTTTTCACTAAACACGTAACTTTTGATATCTCATGTTGAATTGTGTAATACAGAGTAAATAAGAAGAAGTAAGGTTAAAATTACTTTTATAGCTGTATTGGCTGAAGTTACTCCAGATAATCATTTTAACTATTTTTAATACAATTTTCTCTTTCTTTTATTAATAAAATATATTTTAGGGAAAATCGCACTTTTAGTCCCTAAATAATCACGAAAATGAAATGTAAGACCCGTGTTCCCAAGTTTGTAAATGTCGTCACTCAATTGTCTTGAATGATGTAAATGTAGTACTTTGAGGGGTGAAATAGTAAAATACAATGTGGGCGAGGGTACATTTCATCCCTTAAAGGACCACATTTACAACAATTTCTACAATTGAGGGATGACATTTACAATATTAGAATTACGGGTCTGACATTTCATTTTCGTGACTATTTGAGGGACTAAAAGTGCGATTTTCCCTATATTTTATATACTAGTATAATTTTTTCATAAATCGGCAAAATCAGCCAATGTAGCCATTTCAGCTAGAACTTCATAAATATCAACAGAAACAATCGATTCAACCGATTTCAATGCTACCAACGGGCTCATAAAGTGTAGACAGTACGTCATACAAAAAGATCACTTGGTTTAAAAGAAACAATTAATCTAGATTACATTACATTTAAAAGAAAGACAAAATAGCAGCTAAGTTTTGTTTTATATACACATTATCGTAGTTGAATTGGATACAGGAATGTTTAGCCCAAATGAACTTTCAAGATTACATTTACATATATTCATGTCTCTAACTTTCTTTGATACCGAGTATTATGAAACTCAAATGGTTTATGGGCTTCAGTCATTATTTATACGTAGTAATTGATTATGGCAGACTCTGTTTTGTAAGTTATTTCGGTTTAAACCTGTAGTAATTCTTTTTTTAGTGTAATGGTGTAGTACTATCTTCTACTTCGTGCAATTGTGAATTACTCCGTATGATTTTGGATTTTGATATTCTCAATATCAATTATCAAACCATGATGTATTTTGTCAAGTGTTTTTTTAGTGTCTACGAAAAATGGACAGGTTGAACAAGCCCAACACATAACTACGTAGTAATACATACCAATACCAGAACAACTATTAGCATAATATTTTTGTTTTTGAATGCAGAGTGGACAACTGAGGATACAAGTACCCAAATTAACCGAAAAGCTATGTTGTAAAAACCGGACCGGAGGGTGACCCGGACAGATGACTGGGTCATGGGTCAACCAGGACCCGGCGGGTCAACCCGGTCAACGACCAGTAAACCCGGTCAACAATAATACAAATAATTAATTTTAATTATATAAAGGATTAAATTCTTAAATAGAAAAATTATATTCCTTCACAATTTAATAATAATAATAATACAATATAAGCAATCTGAAAAAAACTATTGTATTTAAGTAGATTGATTTAAAAAAAACATTGAAATTTAGATTAAGAATAAAGATGAACATTATACCAATTACAAAATATGAAAAAGTCGTAACAATAAATACATAACTAGGAAGTATAATAACAGTATTTATGTGTATTTATTAGTATTTTTATTATAAATTAATTAATTAATAAGCCAATTATTCAAACTTTATAAAAACATTCTAGACAAATAAGATATAAAGCGACCTAAACAACCTACGTACACAACAACCGAGTATAGCTCATTGGTTTCCTGTCCATCATTTGAAGCTTGAGGCACAAGATCGAATCCCATGGGTGAGGTTTTCTCCGGGTTTTCTCATTTTATGGGTTTGGAACGGTTCGGGTCCGTCCCGAGTTTAAAAGAGTCACCGGTTAAATCCGGTTTTGACCATATTTCCGGTCGGCTGCTCAACCGGAACGGACACATGGCCAGGTGACCGGGTTCCGGGTCAAACCGGCCGGTCCGGTTCGGGTCTTATAACACAGCCGAAAAGGTGAAAACCTGTTCATTGCTCCCCTACTTGAGGCTAGGTGGCTAGGGGTGGACTCGGGCCCGATTCCAGTGGGCTTTTTTCTGTAACACTTTGGCTAGACCTGTCAATGGGTCGTGTCCGGGCCGGAACGTAGTGTTCCGGACCCGGACCCGACCCGTTTACCCGGCGGGTCTAAAAATTTGGACCCGTACCCGGACCCAACGGGTCTCGGAACCGGGTCGGGTAGACCCGCCAAGTATCATATGCACAACATTATATAATTTTTTAAAAATAGCAAAACATATATATGAAATGTAAAATAAAGTGCACAAAATGTTAGGACTTTGTGTCTAAAAAGATCACACTTTGTGTCTTTCTCTCCCACAGAAAACTCGTATATTAGACTAGAAATTAGATCACAAAATGTTCTTTTGGACTAAAAGCATATTATATACTATTATATTATCACTTAAACATTGGGTATGTATTAATTTGTACTACCTCCGTCCCGCTAGAAGGTTCCCATAGTAAAATGACACGGTTATTTAGGTGATAATTAAATAAAGTACTTCGAGTATATTTTGATAAATAATTTTAATAGGTATATATTATAATGTGTTAGTATTGATAACTGTGATGTTATAAATGTATTATTTTTAATATTTAATGACTAATTTGTCACTTAAGATTGTTAATTGTTTCCTAAAATGGAAATGAGAACCTTCTATTGGGACGTCCAAAAAAGGAAATTGGGAACCTTCTAACGGGACGGAGGGAGTATCTTTTTAATCAAAGAATTAAAACTAATCACTTTATATACTCGTATATTAGTTTGTATTTTTATTTGAAGTATAATAACTAATCTCTTTATGTATTAGTGTGTGTGTATATAATAAGAAATTTTAAACGAGTCCGGGTCCTTAACGGGTCGGAATCATATGTACCATACCCGACCCGTTTATTAAAAGTACTAACGAGTCCGGGTTCGGGTCCGGGTCCGGATAAACGGAATAAAATAAAGACTCATACCCGTTAAAAACAACCGGGTCCGGGTCGGGTTCGGGTCTAGACCCAACACATTGACAGGCCTAACTTTGGCCTACTACCAGTTCGGGTACGCTCCGGGACCAAGACCAGCCCAGGTCCAATCAGTACCGGCCTACGACCGGGTTCAAGCCGGTACCACACATTTAATTAAAAATAATACCAGTAATTAACAATTAGTGCAGTTAGGCCCGGACCGGGCAAAAACACTCAAGCCCGAATCCCGCCCTTATAATCATAGGTCCGAGACCCAGGCCTGAAGAGTAATGAGTCGGGCTGGGCCTGAACAATATCGGGTCAGGCCGCCCAGGCCTAATCCATCCCTACTTGAGGCCATGCAACTGCACTAGAGTAGTAGACGAATTCCAAACAGTGGTGTTGGTGCAGAATGGTATGTTTCTGGTAAAATCCCTAGCTAGTTAAAAGTTAGTCAGAATATATACAAACCAAGAGTGGACAACGAAATCCAGCCTCTCAAAACAATCTCTTGATTCTCATATAGTGACCATACTCAGCAGCAGCACTGCTGCACCAGGATGATAGCTGACTTTGTTTTCTGCTTGATGTCAAATTCAGTTCTCGCTCAGAATTTCATCTTCAAACAAAAATCACATTCCAAAGATGTTCCCCCAATATCCTCAACAAAGAAGCCACATTTCTGTTCTTAACAACACTAAAAAGCTTCTCAAAGGCTTCTCCAGTTCTTGAGAACTATGAAGCATCAACATTTAAACACCAATCCCAAAAGATCACGAGTCATCAAGAAATTAAACAAAGAAGTCACCTTTCTGCACATGACACTACTAAACATCAGCCCAAAGACTTTCACAGTTCTTGCCTCTTGGCATCAATATTTAAACACCAATACCAAGAGGCATCAAGAAAATACAAACTTAAGTCGCAGTGTATATCATGAGAATAGACATCAAACTCATTTGAAACTAATGTAAACATTCAATCAGACCTCAACAAAGATAACCAACAGAAACGAAAAAAAGTAATTCCATTAGAATATAATCTTTCAAGTACATGGAACTACCAAGCAACAATGGAAGCACGAATATAAACCCAAAACAGCTATTCCATTTGCTTGTATGGGATATAAGTAGCTTCAAAAAACTTGTACCAAGAACATATTGCTATTGTACATGGTTCAAATGGGGGAACCCCTAAAACTCCTGAGATGCAGAGCCTATATCGCCCTTTCCACCGCCCGCCTTTTTGGGTAGCAGATTCTGGTGAATGTTTGGCAACACTCCTCCATTGGCAATTGTCACATTCCCCAAAAGTTTGCTTAGTTCTTCATCATTCCTCACTGCCAATTGAATGTGTCTGGGCACAATTCGGGTCTTCTTGTTGTCCCTAGCAGCATTACCGGCCAATTCCAAAACCTAATTCAATTTATAAGGATTCGTCTAATTAAAATAACAAATAGATCAATTGATTGCTTTCAAATTCGAAACAGGAATCTTGAGAAATAACAAATATAAAATGAATTCAATTATCTGCAAATCGGAATATTGAATTATTGAAAGATCGTGAACCAATACCTCAGCGGCGAGATACTCGAGGACGGCACAGAGATAGACAGGAGCACCGGCGCCGACACGCTCGGCGTACTTTCCGGATTTGAGGAATCGGGCAACCCTACCGACGGGGAACTGGAGCCCGGCCTTCGATGATCGGGAGACTGATTTCGCCGCCTTAGGCTTTCCTCTGCCGGCGACGGCGGCACCCTTGCCTGCTCCGCTTGAACTCATAATTTTCACAGAAGAAACCCTAAAGCCGAGTTGTGAAAGCTGAACTGCGAGTGCGGCTGTTCTGTATTTTCGAGACTACGAAAAACTCAAAGGAGAGAATGGTATATGTAGGTCATGATGGTGTACTGTGATTGGTGGGTATAATGGAGCGCGGATCGCCAGCGTGGCAGTAGGTCCTGGAATACTGACGCGCCTCAAAATTTTCCCTCTTGCGAAAAGGTAGAAAATTACAAAAAGTCTTGGTGTACACCCTGGGTTACACCCTGGGGTACACCAAGGCATATATAAACCTTCTGTTTTACTGCTTCCTTTTACCCCTCCTCTCACACAGCCCTCCCCTCCTCATCCCTCACGCACATTTTCTTTCTCTCCCACATCCCTCTCTTCGTTCTCTGCTTCTCACCTTTCTCTCTGTTTTTTAATTTTCTTTTTCCAGATATAATGGATTGTTTTCTAGCATATTTGATGGTGGATGGAGAAGTGACCGGAAATGACGGAGGTTTGGAAGATACCTATGACGGACGACGGAAATGGAAGAAACGCAGAAGTTGTGAACGAAGAAGATGGAGCTGCGACGGAGGATGGAAATGGTGGGCTGTGAACGAGGAAGATGGTGGTCCAAACAACGCTAGGGACGAAGACTTAGGTGGGACAGGTGGTGGACATGTGACACAAGGCGTCAACGAAGTTCCGATATTTGACAGCCGGGATGATTACAGTTGTGACGGGGAAGAGAATAGCAGGGAGAAGATGAATGAGATGTTGGAGGTATTTTCTTTTACACACACAGACAGCTTACATACGTAGTGTCGGTGTGTACCGACAACTAATGTCGCTGTGTACAGAGTAGTGTCGGTATGTATAGACAACTGAAGAAATTCTCATTGATCGAGTTAATGTATACCTACAAAGATGAATGTTATATCTATGAATGAGTTATGTATCTATGAATGTTGTTAATGTATACCTACAAAGACGTATTTGATTTATGAATATTGTTAATGTATACCTATCAAGATTTTTTTATATCTATGAATGTTGTTAATATATACCCTACTACTATAATGTATACCTACAAAGATGAATGTTGTATCTATGAATGAGTTAATGTAAAATGATTATTTGATTATGTGAACAGATGGAGATAACAATGGTGATGAATGTGAACAAATTCGAAAGATAGGCATGAAGTCTCCTACAAAAGATGCAGTTTATGATTTCTACAAAAAGTGTACATATGTCGGTGTGCACAGGCGAATGAAAGGCTCCTGGGTGATTGTACTGACAATTAGTGTCGGTGTGAACAGAGTAATAGTGTTTTTGTAGGTGTACACAGACAGTACTTTCTTTGTAAGTGTTTGTGTGACAATATGGTTTGAGTTTAGTAATATCGTTTGAGTTGTTAACTTGTTATGTAAGATTACCGAAATGTAACGGCTTTTGTTGTGTGAGTTATATACAAAAGTGAGAGATTTATGATTCTATTTGGTTTGTAAGTGTTACTTTGCCAACATGGTTGGAGTTGGGTTGGAGTTGTCTGTGAGCTTCATATGATATGCATGTGACGTTCATATCGTTGTCTATGAGCTTTATGGTAGTTGTTTGTGAAATTCAAATAGTTGTGTGTGAGTAATATTGTTGTCTCTAAGATTCATATGTGTTAGTGTAATTTAAGAGACAACACATTCATATATATATGTGTGTGTGTGTGTGTACAAATGCTACCAATCACCCTTCTTTTATTTATTTCAAGTCCTTTCAGTACACACATAGTAATAACAACTACACAGATACTATTGCCGGTGCACACATACAATAATAACAACTAAGAGATATTACTTTCGGTGTACACAGACAATATGAACAAGTCACAAACATATGTGTAGACATAATAATAGCAAGTACATAAATATTTCCTTCCTCGTTGTTGTAGCCTACCCGAAGCTCCCTGGAAGCGAATGTATTCACATGCAAGAATATTACTCACAAACAATTCCAAGAAGTTTATAGACAATTCATATGAAGCTCATAAATAACAATGTGAAATGCTTCATCTTGTATAATGATGTACATTATTGGTTGTATTGTTTTGTACAACGTTGAACACTTGCCCAAGTTGATTGTATCCATCTGTTTACAAAATCAAATAGTTCTATTTATTGAACTACAATATTGACATACATCTTTCATACATTTTGTAGGTGACCTACACAAATCTATATAAATAATACATTTATTACAATATTTGTGGGTAAAGTCAATGAGAATGTCTTCATTTTTTTGTACACACAGACACCAGATGTTGTTATAATCAATGAGGACGTTGTCATTCATCTGTCGCACCTCATCATCATTTTTCTCAGAAGCCGAATCACCTTCCTACAAACGTAAATAAATATGTAAAAAGTTAGACAAACACAAACTTGTTTATGGAGACAACAAACTTCAGAAAATACACAAACAAATCCAACAGTTTCATTTCATACACAACAATATGAACGACACAAAAACACCAAATAGCTTCAATAACCTACCACTTTTGTATATATCTCACACAAGAAACTCACACACACTTTGGTAATCTTACATAACAACTCACAGACAACTCCAAGTCAAATCATCCGGGGATACAGACACTGCAATTTTGAACACAGATAGATTATGTATTGCACAGACAAAAAGTATCGGTGTACCTTATTTCATGCCTGGGACCTTCTTCCACTTAAAGACACCTTACCGACACTTTGTGCATTTCACAGTCAGAAAGTGTCGGTGTACCTTATTTCAAGCCTGGGACCTTCTGCCACTTAAAGACGCCGTACCGACACTTTGTGAATTTCACAGACAGAAAGTGTCGGTGTACCTTATTTCATGCCTGGGACCTTCTGCCACTTAAAGACACCGTACCGACACTTTGTGAATTTCACAGACAGAAAGTGTCGGTGTACCTTATTTCATGCCTGGGACCTTCTGCCACTTAAAGACACCGTACCGACACTTTTTGTTATAGTAATCATTAAGAACAAAAGCATATGTTGAGAGTGTTGTTATAGTAACCATCACTCAAATTAAAAACACAGACATAAGCACTTCCAATAGGCAATAACCTCTACAAGACTACAAGGTGGAATTCGTTTCAACTGGTGTCAACCAGTTCTGCCACCAAAGCCCTGGGACCTGCACTTCCATGATGCCAACATCCGATTTACTTAGTATTTAGCAAAAATCTTCAGTAAAATTCTTAAACTAAGTGCACATGACTTTTCCAACACAAAATCAAAATGATTTTATTAAACTAAAATATAAGCCTACAAAAACAAAAATTAAAACCCTAAGGTGACACAAACACTGCAATTGGAAGTCACACTTCACCAATTCATGATGAACCAACTGCACTAGAAATCTAGCAGAACACATGACAGAAATCAGTATATGACAAACAAAGAAAACTGAGCTGAAAAACTCACACGCATATGAATCAAATTGAATCCAAATCAGTAAAGGAACACGGTAGAAAGCAATGTTCCCAAGCACTGGTCAACACTCCTTGATGTTGGTAGATTAATTGAGTATTAAGGACTCAGAACTTTAACAAGTAACACAAGAAAAGAAGTAATTGGGCATGAAAACAAGTATTGTTTTATATTAACTGAAAGCCATGTTCCCAAGCATTGTTATTGGTTTGGTGAGCTTCTTGATTTATATTAACTGAAAGTAATATTACACCATATTGTTTCGAGTTTTATATAACTGAAATCCAATTTTTTCTAAAAAATAACCCACTTTTGTATATAACTCACACAACAATATAACAAATACCTCAAATTATACTATCGGTGCACCACACCCAATAAGATATATATACCACACAGCTTAACTGTCGGTACACACAGACAAAATTCAATAACCACAAATACAGGGAATGCGTGTACATATAAAAAGAACAAAGATAACAACTCCAATAATAACCACTTTTGTATATAACTCAAATAAGGAACTCACATACACTCTACTAATCTTAAATGAAAAACACAGACAACATCACAGTATCACACATGTTACTTAACAACTCACAGACACTTCAAACATGTCACATAAGAACTCACAGACAACTACTACTCAAACCATAAGGTTATACCGACACTGCAATTCCAAACATACACACACAACCGATTAAGGGTTCTAGCTTCCATTTTTAATTTTTAAACACAAAAATTGAAATTAACGAAATGGTAAACATAGTTATCATTATATTCAACTCCAATACACAATCAAAAACCTAATAAAGAAGACACATGACTTCATACTTACAGTCGGCCATGACGAAGAGGCTTGTTCGCACCATGGCCGCAGGTCAGAGTGTCAGACCCTTGATCTTTAACTTCAACCTTCTTCTTGAGCTTCAATTGTCGTCCACGACCATCGTCTTCACCATACTTCGTCACCTCTAGTGCTCCATCTTCGACGATGAACAAGTTGCGTAAATAGGCCACCATTTACAATTCCGAATGTAAGAAGGTGGATTGCCGGTTGTGGGGAAGCGTGAATCGTGAAGAGTGAAGAAGAAGACTTTTGGGGGGTTTGTAGAGTTGAGATGAGGCGGATGAATTTGGTGGGCTGAGGTCAATTTGATGGGCAAATGGAAAGGTAAAAGAATTGGGAGGGGTATTTATGTGGTGTACCCCAGGGTGTAACCCAGGGTGTACACCAAGAGTTTTTCAGAAAATTAATAGCATTGTCTTGGAGGCAAATTTTGAAATTTCAATCAATTAGGAATTTAGGACCACTCTTGGTTCGCATTCTACTACGTTCCGGTCTTGAGCCTTGAAATTAAAATCATTCCCATTTCCTTACTATAGTTCAAGTCTTTAGTGACTCTTTACAAGTTTTCCTACATCCAAAGAGGTTTTAATGTGCATCTAAACTTCTCACTTTTCATCGAGTTGACTCTCTTCCAGTTGGATAAAACTACCCACAATGTTATCAAGCATTTTGGCTACCTCTAAAGTCATATAGTCATTCGGCACAGTGAGGCAATGACGACAATGCGGAGAGACGACGATGGAGATCATATTAGAGTAGGTAAAAGGTTGCGGCGACAACGACTAAGGCACAATACCAACACTCTCCATAGTGATGGCGGTGACGG